TCTCACCACACCCACGCCTTACTGCCCTCATCACCCACGTGCTTACCCTGACCAGTCAACCATCCCGCTGAACACATATGTACGGAAACACTCACCAAGTTCCACGCTGCCAAGCATGGGGGGCCCCGCCGAAACCGATGCTGACTGAAAGACGGTACGGTGTTCCTCGCACCCTTGACTGCTCCAGCTACGGCCCAATCCGCACTGGTCCCTAAAGACCGACCACCCGGCACCTCAGCTCCCAGAAGCCAACAGGGTGCCCGCGGGCGGGGCCCCGCCGACCATGGAGCCCCTCAGGACGTCGCGCCCCGCCGGGGCCTCAGTCGTAGACGTGCGCTGCCGCCTGGCCGTGCGCGTGCGCGACCTGAAACTGGCCCTCGGAGATGGCGCCCGCCGCAAGCAGGTTCTCAACGGCGTCAACCTCAACCTGCAGTCCGGGCGCCTGCACTTCATCCTGGGCCCCAACGGCTGCGGCAAGTCCACCCTCCTGCGCGTGCTGGCGGGGATCATCCCTGGCGACTCCGGCACCGTCCGCGCGGATTCCCCCGTGGGCTTCGTGTTCCAAAACCCCGACCACCAGGTCGTGATGCCCACCGTGGCCGCGGACGTGGCCTTCAGCCTGGGAGCGCGCGAGCTACCCGATTCCGAAGTCCGATCCTCTGTAGAAGCGGCGCTGGACGCGGTGGGGATGCTGGACTGCTTCGACGCGCCGATGAGCTCGCTGTCCGGCGGGCAGAAGCAGCGGGTGGCGATCGCCGGCGCGCTGGTCTCGCGGCCGTCCCTCCTGCTGCTGGACGAGCTGACGACGTTCCTGGACGAGGGGTCGAGGCGGAGGGTGCTGGAGTGCGTGCGGGGGGTGGTGGGGGGGCGGAGGGACAACACGGGTGTGTGGGTGACGCATCGGTTCGAGGAGCTGGAGTTTGCGGACAGCGCGGCGTACATGGAGGAGGGGAGGGTGCTGTGCGCGGGGGAGCCGGCGGAGGTGGTTAGGTACGTGCGGTCGCTGGGGGCCAAGGTGGGCGGTGGGAGGAGATTGGCGGGGAAGGGCGGTGGTGGGATCTAGGAAGGCTGTGGGGTGCTGTGGGGTGCATTTGGGGTCTTGGATCCTCTGAAGGTGGGAATGTGGGGGAAGGTTGTGCTTAGGCAAAAAAGAAAATTGGTCATCCCGTGGCCGGGATTTGGCCATGGGGGAGATTTCTCGCCAAAGCCTTGGCCCTTGAATGGGATTGCAAGGTGCTGGTGAGAATGGGAGGCTGTGGGAGGCTGGAAGCTTGACTTGCTCTGCACCAGCAGCATTCAGCAGGGCTGCCAGCTGTGCGTGCATTTCAGTGTGTATGTGGTTGTATCCGGAGAGGCCAGGATTGTGTTGGTGCTGATGGAGGCTGAAGCACCATAAGCAATTGGCTCTGCACTGCGGCATGAGTGGATTTCACCTGCTGCCGCATATCACTGGTGAGAGTGCCCCTGTGGCAACCGTCGTTTTTCTCAACCATCTCCAACTAACCTGCGATATGTTTGTACTGCATTCTCAACTGGACCTCGTCGGATGCTGCATTCTCAACTGGACCTCGTCAGACAAGTTCGGACAATGAACAGGCAGTGTTGGCTGTTCACACGGTCTTGATTCGCTGGCAAGGTGCAGAGCTGTGCTTATCATGGTTTTTTTACGTGCGTCATCCGAGTACTGTCACCCACAGCCAAACTGAAGCGAAGCATGAGTAAAATCCGTTCCAACGCTGCCCAGCCAGGCAATGGTGAAAATGCTGTGGTTTTTAATGTGTTAAGGGTGTGTTCCTGTCCATCAACTCATTTGTGCCAGCAACTCCAGTCGACCTTGCCACCCATTGAACGTGTCAGACCCATCTCCGGATGTAAGAAGCACAGCACAGCACACCAGGGATGGGCTTGGCAACCTCCTGCTGCTATCAAAGCACAGGACGGTGTTGCTGCAACTGGACAATTCAATATTCTAGTGGCTCGTCTTGATAGAATGCTGTTGTTAACAAACTGCATCAAACTTGCATGATGCCCTCCCACTGATCACTTTCACCTGCGACACGTTCAGCTCGAAGTAGCCGGCACAAAAATTATCAATGTGCTGTCATCAGTTTATTCATAGCTCCCTGCATTTACAAAGCCACTCCTCCTATCTAAAGGGCTAGATGAACATATCTCTTAGAATTCTAAACCTCCTGCGCTCTGGGAGAACCGCTGTTGGTGTCAAATGAGCTCGTCGCATCCATTTGTAGAATAGATCGACATCGACCTTGGCTCACTCACAATGAACATCCTTTGGCCATCTGGAGTGAAAGCAATTCCCTGGCATGGAAGATAGTAGCTGCTCAGGATGGAAGATCACTTAAAAGCAAAACCAACGATGCTGCCTCCAGAAAAATGTTGCACCCTTTGCCTGCAACTTTTGCAGAAGGCAACAAAAATTCTGCACAGAATTCATTTCGTGGCAATCCATGAAGAAAGGATCGCACTTGTCAGCATAAGACTAGCAATTGCCTTCATACGTTTTCCCTCTGTATCCCAAATGGCCGTGTCAGAATGGTCCATCCTCATCAGGCATTGCCAGATCTTGTGTAAAGTTTGTGACCTCTGGCTGTTATATCTGTAAAGAGCTGTCCGCACAGGCAAAGGAACTGTCTGGATGGGATGTGCAGACACCACGAATCAAGTTTATGACCTGCTGTCTATAGTATGGATTGCTTCTTGGGCAAGAAGACACAGGACGAATCGGATATCAGGCAATCATATGGTAGCTGTCCATTGTACGGATTTGAGGCTGTGTGTTTGTAAGAAGTGTTCAATACGTGCAGAAAGGTGAACAGGTGAAGGATGATGAAGGAACACACTAACAAGGCAAGAACAATATGATAATTGTTCCATCCACAGAAGCCCAAATTCCGGACGTGCCCATTCAGATTGTCGCTGAGTTTTGACTGCACCTCTGGCCTTTCCCCAGCAATATCCCTCTGCTGCACTACTTTTCCTTTCATTGTGACCTTCATAACGCTCTTGTCCTCCTGCAATCAACGGCAACAACACAACATCATTAGGAAACTACGTAGGGACCAAACTCGCTGCAACAAATGATGCGCACGTGCCTGACGATTGACTCTTATGGTATGCCGCTTGTGCATTTTGGGTCATGGGGGCACCACTGAGCGAGAGGGCATGGCATTGGGTGATGCTGTGGAACTATGGAGGCCGTTTTCAAGGTGACCACCAAAACCCTGCACCGTTGGCGCCGGCAATCAATCACATCTGGCCACAAGAATGTGGAATGCTCCAAGGGTAACTCCATCAGACAGCGGGCCTGTCAAATTGCACTCTGTGATGTCTGGCACTGACGCTCTTGTGTTGGTCTTCAAGAAGACCTGAGCGAGCCATCCCCTCCAGGGGATTACAACAAGTAACAGAGGCAGCACTATGGGGCAAACATTTGATCTACTGCACAGGATGATCAGTTGAAACCAGCGGCAAAATGTGGCGCTGCCCACGACTGACAACGTCAGCAGAGGGGCTGCATAAGGCCACAATGATGTCACAGCGCATAACGTGACACAATGGGGCGTTCAGTGGAATTTCAATTGCCGAATAACAAGACTGTGAGCAAGGCAGGTGATGCCTTGCTGCATGATACGGTACTATTTCAGAAGATGATTGTCAGAAGTTTAGCGCAGTATAAATGTGTGCAGCACTTAGGCAATATGGCCAATGATTCGCCACTGATACTTTGCCTTGTGATCACATTCTGCACTGATGATCCGTAAGTAGCACTTCAACGAAGTGGTGGAGGCACCAGCTGGCTCAAAGGGCAATTGCAACAACAGAACACAGGAATTGCTCATGTGAACAATTCCTACTGTTCAGTGCCATTTCGGCTGGTTGCTTCGCCACTCTTTCAAAACATGTTGAACGGCCGGCAGTGGAGGGGGGTGGCGGAAAATGAAGTGAACGGCAAATGAATGAGTACCTTACCTGAGACAGCACGAATAACTTGTTGATTTGGGAGGCATAATGGACTCCGCTCAGGTCGCCGACGCCTATGTTCTCTAGAGTGAACAGTTCCTGCACAATGAAAAGCAAGCCACATGATCAAGAGACAGGAATGCTCCATGCTCAATATCTGTGCTGAAATTTGCAAGCGAAGACGAAGCGCGCCTTCGGCAGGCGATGATGCGCATGTCCACATGCAAAAACGTTTTGTCTGTCCCTCATTCGTTTCTTGCATCGACTCTCCACCCGTCTGCAGTGCAAATGGTGGTCAAGGAAAGATAACAGTTCGCATCCAAGATACACCAGTGTCCACGACAACAAATTTCGTTCGTCCAGCCAAAAAGTGATGTACCTCCTGGCATCTCAGTTTGAGACTGTTCCTTGTGCATTGAAGCACGGGCAGCAGCGCACGCCTTTGAGTCGATTGTTGCGTTAGAAAATGGGATGAGAATGTGATAAACAACTGACAGCAAACAAGCCTTTGGAAAGGGCTGAAAAGGTGCAATATCCAGTGGCTCAATGCTGTCGATTCCAGACGCATTCGAGCACAACCACCATGTATCTTTCCCATGCAATCATGTTTGGAGTAGGTCAGCAGTCACTGACCAGCGAAAGCAGCAGCATAACAGCACACCTGTTGAAGTTTGTGCCAACTCAGAAGCCCAGTTGCAAAATTGCACTCTACAAGAGCACACATGTAACAGAGGGGGCTCTTGCAGGCTTTGGAACCCTGTTATTGCCAATATATACAGCAGGGTGGATGCGGTCCTCCCCACACCAACCTCCTTTCAAATACTGTGTATACTGTTGCACATTGGAATCTTCGACATAGACATCTCTGATGGCGCCAGCACCTCACCCTGTAGGTTCCATTAAGTTGCACCTCCACAATTCGTTTTGGATCCTTTTCTTGGACGACGTAGTACACCTCTTCCCTGTCAAGCGCCGAACCTCAGATCTTTTCGGTGGTCAATCAGCGTTTCAGTCATGTGCTACACAGACACTCCAATGAACAAACTCGCCATCGCTCTGGACGCCTCCGCACTACGGCAATAACTTTTTGCCAATAATACATGCCCGGCGGGAGCTCATTAATGAAAAAAGAAGCTGATATTAGTTTCGACCATGTCGGATCTTGCACGCCCAAGAGCATGCAACGATGCGAGTGACTGTGGCATTGACAGGAACAACGATTTGGCTTCCGTCAGGCGCTAATCTTCATCACAAACGTTGCCACATTAGGACAATGGCGAATGGCTGATACCAGACCTTGAACGTTGCGCTGAGCGTGTGGATTGGGACCCCCAGGGGGCAAGACCTCAGCAATGCTCTTTCAATCACTGGTTTTATCAAATGTCCAGGATTCTTGCATCCTTGCGCTGTGCTGCTGCTGCCAATTGCACGATTGATCCACTTTTGCCCTGAAGACTCACTTGTCGTTGTAAGTAATGCCCTCCAGCCCCGTGTGGCTAGGGACGTCCAGATCCACTTTTGTTCGTCTCTGAACCAAAACCCGCAAACGGTGCCCACTTTCAACAAGCAGTCAAGGGAAAACAACACATTTCTTTTAGGCTCGATGATGGGTGTACACTTGGAGTTGCAAAACATGGTCAATTCCGTTTGTGTGCTGTGAAATCTTCTGTGGTTCTCTTGGAACAAGCTTTTCAGAGACGCTCTTGGAAGGCTCTTGGAAGAGTTGATCGACAATGCGAAATTGAGTGGCCTGGAATGGGCAATAACAAAATAAGACATTTCCACGCACCTCTTCCACATTCACAACGCCAGGTGCAACGTTGACGACCGTCACGCCCCCTTTCGTGGGCTCCTCCAGAACTGCCATTTGATACCCCACCATCCACGCCAAGCCTGCGCAGACAGCGCGAACGCGTTGGGCAAAACTCGCAAGAACACATATCATCCGTCTACTCGTTCTTTGGGGCGATATCCTGGGTCTCAAAGAGACACCAGCCCATACTCTGTCCGTGTTCTCGATGCTTGCGGTGGCCGCGCATCCTCGTGCCAGCAGCGCCCTGTGGACGGCAGCACACGCACCCGCAGGTCCAGCCCGGGCACCTGCACCGTGCACGGCTCCCGCCACGTTTGCGCACGCCCGCGTCGAGCCATCGGGGTCCCCCACCAAACGGAGGGCGGCATGCGCAGCGGAGCGCCCAAATTCACACGACGCCGCGATCCCCATGCATCCCATGCAGCAATTCCGTACACGCGTCCGATCGGCCCATTCTCACGCGCCGCGGACGCCTGCCATCGCCCCAGCGCGTTTCCAGCACCAAGCGCCATCGCTCGGCTCCACAAAGCCTCCGGGGCCAAGCTCACTCGCCCCTGGCCCGCCCAACTTCCCCCGACCCCGCCCAGCCCGCCAGCCATCCGCCCACCCTCGGGGTCCTTGAACCCATCCCAGGAGAGCTTCCTCAGCATCTGCCCCCGCTCGCTGAACTCCATGAGGTACTTCGGCGACCCCGTGATGACCCATACGCTCTGCGTCACCGGGTTGTAGGTAGCGCCGGAGGCGTCGTCGTCGATGAAGGGCAGCGCGATGGCCTTGCAGAGCTCATAGGCGGGCAAGTTCCAGGCGCCCTGGAAGGCCGCTGCGCTGGCAAACAGCATGGCGAGGGCGCATCCCGCCGTCGCGAGGCGGAGGCAGGGCGGAGGCATCCTGCGCCGCGGGCCCGTCGTGGCTGATCCAGTTTCGCCGTCGGGAAAGGCTGCCTGGATTTTCTGGGGGGGGTCGGGGCCTCCCTGGCCGGTTCCTGTACCTCCGAAGCCGAATACTGGTTTGTCAGACTTGGGGATTGGCCGAGGGACGGGGAGAGATTGGGGCGGATGGACTGGCAATGTGCTGTGTTCGTGATGAAGAGGGGGATGAATTTCATAAGCTGAACGGGTGAGCAGCACTTACTGGGTGGTGCTGAAAGTGGCCAAATGGCCGGCGCACCGCCCGGCTGTTAGCGGCATGTTGAAGATGATCGGGGCGTTTCGTGCATCCGGTAGTTTCTGCAATCAACCATTTCGTACAGAGGGCTATGTATTGAGCTCTCGGAATGAGGCATACTTTCTTTTTTTAGAGCTCTCGGAATGAGGCTGCTCTTGCGCTGTTAACATTAATGTTGATTACCAATGTATAATGTAAATAATTATCAATGTAAATAATGTAAATACCCACGTAAATAATTACCGATGTAAATAATTACCAATTAACATTAATGTTAATTACCAATATTGGCACTGACATTCCGAGAGCCTGCGGGGAGTGCTGCCAGCTTCCCGCCACAATTATTTTGTTGCAGGGTGGTTTTCATTTGAACGATCGAAGAATAGCACTTGGCATTCTCCTGTTGAATGCAAACTGTGGGCAGTTTGTAAGCTTCCCGAACAGGATTAAAATTGAGAGCTTCTAGATTTACTTAAATAAGCGTATGTGGGGGGATCCCATTGCCATTCCTGTTTATGAACGCCTCGTTTGCAGACGGCCTGGGGACGACACAGACATTTTCCAAGCGTGCGTCTTCCTTGCATAAGCTCTCAGCCACTTTTGTGTCTGGGTGTTTTCGCACACTCCCGTGTGATGGGGCAAGATCACCGACGATGCCCTTGTCGACGTCGTGGCCAGCACAGTGAATTTACTGTATTGGAGGCAGCACATGTGCTATGCAGATTCAAGTCTCCCCTCCATTGTGAAACACAAGCGCGCCCTTGTGTCATATGGCACCCTGGCTTCTCTCTTTCTGGCCTAGATGTTCTGAGTTCAGGACCTCGCGGTCTTGGGAATTGAGTCAAAGTACTCCACCACGAAAAGCCGCGTCGCATCCATTCAGCATGCGCCACCTTACATGGCGTTCAGTAACCGCTGCGACGGGCATTGTGGGAGCATTGGCTGAGTGTGCCGACTTTGATGCATTGCACGACATTTTCAGGACCATGCAACAAACTTTATATACCTTTCCAATTGACATGACTCCTTCGATATGAATTTGCGCTATCAGCTGACCGGTGCTTGGAAACAATCTTGAAATGATTCCCTCTTGCCACAGAGCTTGTTATTTCGCACATTCTTTTAAGCATCATTCCGACTGAAGGCCGCACGCCCATGTTTACCCGCATACAGGAACCCCCTATCATGGCAACAGCGCAACCACATTTTGCATTACCACTTGCAATATGCCAGCGCACCGCCATCTCAGCCACGACCAGAACAGCTTCCATCTGGACCTCACCAGGGCGACGACGTTGCTGAACGGACGGTTGTTATTCACTCACTCCAAACTGTTTGGCCACGCCTTCGGACTCATTAATGCGCTTGACCATCACCGCTGCTCGAATATGGCACACAGTCAACTGTGCTCAAGTGCGCGCAACGATGTGTATTAGGCTGAACGTCACGGATTTTAACGCGGGAGAATGGGGGAGTATCAATTTTTCACAATAGCGGTCAAGCAACAAGCTTGATTTAATTAGGCCTATTGGCACTCATGTGCCGCACATGTGCACATCAGCAGATGATGTGCCTGTGGCGGCGATATCCGCACTGAGTACCACGACTTCAAATTGTGCCCTCAGGTGACACCGCGGTCCACGTCCCTATCACGGGTGACACATCACGACATCGCGGTGTCCAACTAGGGACATCGGGATGCGGCAAGTCCTCCAGGGTGCTCGCGGTGTGGTTTAGTGTTCCCTCGAGGGACCGCCGGGCGGCGCTGCCACGTCCCTGAGGGATTGTCGCGCCGCCGTGGCATTTTGATTATAGAACCATCGGATGAACTGGCAGTGTTGCTGCCGCGTCCTGCGCTCCAACCAGCGTCTTCACACTGCGACGAAAAGGGGGCAATTCGTGTGAACCCCGTGTGCTTGCAACACTCTTCTCTCAATCAAGAACCTTGGCAGTGATGCGGCTCGTGATGGGCACCGCCGTCCGTCGAATAGCTAAGCGCCATAATCCAATGTTACTGGCAGTAATTTGCCGACCTGGATTCCCTTGTTTGCTGCCTTTGTTTCTGGAAGTTAAGTAATATCACTTCTTTACTAATGCTGTTTTCCCAAACGCTGCGATGGCCCTTACGTAGCGACAAGCTGCCGCTCGTGTTTTGCAAAAGGTCATGCTGTGCCCTCACCACCTGGGAAGCGTGCGCGGAGATATTCGGTCTCGAACGATGGATAGCATCAATCCGATGGCATGGTTGTTGGATATGACCGCGCTAAGAGTCTGGAGACAAGTTTCTGAGAAAAAAAGGGCGGCATATATAACAGCCACTAGGGAAAAAGGGCCAAATAACACGTGTTCAAACGCGTAAAAAGTTACGGGATTGTGTTATTTCTGTGTTCTTGGCGTGCAGAGCTTTGATAAAATGTATTTTATGTATGTTTGCAAAAGTGTTATTTGGTCCTTTTTTTGCTAGTGAGCGTTTTAACGAACGCGGACAGAATCAAGAGCTGACACACGTCCAAAACCTCTTCGATATCATGGCATTTACATTCACGTTTTTGCGTTTACGTTTTCACGCATAAAAGTGTAAATTTGCAAAAAGTGGATATTTCACAGCTGTATTCACGTATTTTGATGGTTCTTCAGCACACTCACACCACACGATGAAGTCGGAAACAACGAAAGGTCCTCCGCCTGGAGCGCCCCCAGCACAGCAAACACCTCGCCCTCGGCAAGGGCAAAGACGTGGTCACACAAAAGGTCGTCTTCTGCCCACTCTAGCACATCTAGCTGCCACCGCCCTAGCTCCCTGAGCCTGCATTTATTGTCTTTATGTACACCGCGTCAAAATTATCTATTTTTTACGCGCATTTACACGTAGACACACAGTGTTTACGCCGTAAAGACCAAGCCTGGATGCAAACATCATTCTGACGAGTGTTCGACTGCACAGCGTCAACATTTGGGCTGGGTGATGTTTCGCTGGCACGATGAGATATGTGTACAAGATTTTTGTTCAGACGTCGGGTCTTTGCCGCTCTTCAGGGCATTGAGTTAGTGAAGGAGCATTGTATGAATTCAATTCTGCACGTTTGGAATTCACCATGAATTCAAAAAGAGAGTGAGGCAACGCCCGAAGACTTCACGTATTCATATAAGCTACGTGTTTAGAATAACAACGCTTAAATGCAACAACAACTTCCCTCAAGTTTGTTGCTTTCGCGCTGATTTGGCGGTGGTCCTATTCAGGCTTGGTTTTTACGTTTATGTTTACGTGTTTACTTTTACGTTTTTACGTGTAAAAACGTAAATTTGCAAAAGGCCCTACTTTTACGGCTATTTTTACGTTTTTACGGCCCCCTGGGACGCCCAGAATACACGATGAAAGTTGCGTACAGTGATCAGTCCTCCGCCATATCCAGCACCCGCACCACAGTGTCCGCCTCGCCCTTGGCAAGGGCGATGATGGTGTTTAACAAAAACTCGTTTTCTGCCCCTTCCAGGGCGTCTGGCTGCCACTCTCCGGAGTCAGTAAGTCTGTATGTACTGTCCTTATGCACAACGGGCAGTTTTTACGTTGTATTTACGTACTTTTACGTGTTTTTACGCGTAAAACCGTAAAAAGAATTTTTACGCGTAAAAACGTAAATACGATCAGTTTTTGCGGCGTAGAAACCAAGCCTGGTCCTATTAGTCGCAGCTGGCGGGCAACCGTTACCCAGCGCCCGCTCCAACTCCTGGGGTCCCTCCAGTGGAGTTGCCCAACAATAAAAGTTCCCAATGCAACAGGCATGAACATGTCACGGTGGTTAGAATTGTGTTCATGCTGCGCCTTGCCTTTTCCGTCTTTAGGGCGGGTGGGTGCGGTGCGGCGATCCATTGTCGAAATTGCGATCATTCACCTGATTGATGGAGCTGCGGATCAACGCAAGCTATGCCAGAAACTGGAAGGCGGGCGTTCCTGCAGGCACTCGACGCCCAGACGCCAAGAGGGGTGGGGTGCCGGGGCGCCCTCATCTGATGAACTCCCTCCTCTGACGACCGGGATAGCGACTCCTTGACTTGCAACAAGCGACTGACTCCGCCATGCAGGCGGCCAGAAGGTTTCGCGCGGAACGCGCCCGTGCCCACGTGCCCATGTGTGGGGGGAACCCTCAGGCAACATTTTGCAGCGGGGGCGGGACGAACGGAAAAGAGCCAGTGAAAGAAGGGCACGATCCTGCAACGGCATCGTTTTCAAAGCAGTCTCAAGGTTGATCTTTCTCTCATCTGGACCTTGCGCATTTGCATACTCAAGCCTGCGCAATTGCGCTTTTCAGCAAGTGCGTGAAGGTGGGAGCTGGCTGACCCTGTTCTCTGTGTGCTCATGCCGTGCCTTATCAGATGCTCAACATGAGCCCCAGTCCTGCTTCAACAAGCTCCCATCATTTGACCAAAGCTGCACGCTCAGTTCTGGCAGTGATTGTACGTTGAAGTTCCCGTTCGGCACAGCCCTCCGTACGCACAGACTCATCCTTTCCCAGTGGTCGTCGGTGCTGGCTGAAGCCCTGCAACTGGAGACGTCTGGCGAACTGCACATGCCGAAATCTGCATCCATTGTGTGGCGAGTTCTGTTGAGCCACATGTATCCGGTGGAGCTGGACATGGGAGACTTTGATCTGGTGAGATGTGCGGCCAGCACGGCATTCGTGAAGCAATTGCGGGGCCGTTTGAAAACTTGGTGGCATCAGCA